GAGAGAGAGAGAGAGAGAGAGAGAGAGAGAGGTGTCTATGTGTCTATGCAGTGTCTTTTTCATTCGCCCCTCGGGCCATGAGGCGTTACGGTAGTTTACGTAAATGTGAATCACCCAAAAAAAGTGTTCACCAGTCCGGCGATCTCTCACTATGCTGGTGTTTGCCTTGGACATTTTCGAAGGATTGTTAAAAGCCGACAAAAGCAAACGCCCTTGGATCTTGACAAAAACACCAAAAAACACTTGTGAGAGAGAACATGAACTAAAGCGGGCAAAAACGATGAGGACGCAGTTAAGTTAAATGACCATTATTTTTATTCTTTATTCTTTGTTTTTTACATTATACCCAACTCTCATTTATTGTGCAATAATCTATTTATAACATTACATTATCTGTTCCATAGATTTATGCTTTACAAAACGTTTATGTCTGAATTTTGGGAGGGCGTGGGGGGGGGGGGGACTTGGAAGGGATTAGGGCATGTACATGGAAAACACGTCTCCACTTACAACATTTTCTCGTTAAGAAACCAATTAATTTCAAAAGTAGAGGTCCCACTATATGTATGTGTGTGTGTGTATATCTATGTGTGTGTGTGTGTGTGTGTGTGTGTGTGTGTGTGTGTATATATATATATACACAGTATATTCTTGTGCTTAGCCTCTTGTGCTTGTGCAATTAAATCTACCAGCCACATTTTTAGAATCAGCTTCAATGATTTTTGTATCCATGCCGACATGTCTATTAAAACATATTTTCTCCCTCCCCCCCCCCATCCCCGTCTCTTTCCTTTTCTCTCTTCACAGTTTGACGTATAGAAGTGCTTCTTCAGGTAAGAGAGAGTCTCATTATTTCCTGACTTATTTTCGCTCCCCCCTTATAGCCAAAACACAGCACGCCAACAGCACGCTGTCCCATGTCCTGTGACAAAGCAATCTCCATTGGCAAATGATGTTGAAGCTCACTGCACATTGTGCTCACATTAAAGGAGGGATACGAAATGCTCAAGTTGTCTTCGCAAATGTACATATCCTTAGCAGACACAAACCAGGTAATTTGAAGTAACACAAGAACAGACCGGAATTTTTACCGTTTTTATGAGTGCCAAAATTAGCAATGTTTTGTGAAATAGTACATTTCAGGTCAGCTATGGGAAATTGTGGGGAGAAAATGGATCTAGTGTCTCTTTTTGTAGTGATTAATTCCCCAGCAAGAATCCCTGTGGAGCTAAGCAAACGATATACGGTGGTACCTTGACGTACAAGCTTAGTTCTTTTCGTGACCAAGTTCGTAACTCAGTTTACTCGTCTGTGAGATGAATATTCCTCATTGATATTCATTGAGAACCCAATCATCTCTTTCAGTCCAAGCTAGTTTTTGTTACGTGTTTTAATAAAGGGGGAAAAAAGCACTTTGTCATATTGAAACCCGAACTCTAATTATATCTTCTTTTTGGTTGTTAGTAATGTAACTCCAAGATAAATTTCTCAAAAATAATTTTTAGTTGAATACAATCTGCAGAAACTTTATTTGTGTGGATTTAAGGGGCGCAGCCTAACGAGTTACATCAGGAACATGGGCAGTGTGAGCGTCGGGGCATGAGTTTAGGCCTTCTGTAGATAGTTTCGTTTTGTTTTTGACTGTGTACCGTTTCTAAATGGCTTGAAGGGCTGTGCTTTTTTTCCACTTAACTGGATTGGTTGCAAATGTGAAGTTTGCTCTCCACTCAAATTTTTCCTCACAATACAAAGAAAAAACAAATCGACCAAGAGACAGCTTCTAACTTGAAACCTCGTCAGGTGGGCTCAGTCAGAAATCGAGGTAACCACTGCAGTTTGCTACACAGCCTCCCCGACTGTTGCAAGCTGAAGTCAACAAAGCCACTATGCAAAAACCAAGTCTCCAGTAGGAAACAAGTACCCAGTTCCAAACAAAACCACTGCGCTGATGTTAGCTCAAGGCTAATGCTAAAACAACATACAAGGCATCCTGGGTAATCCAATAAACATTAAAAGCCCAGTAAATTGGATCATCTGAGGTACCATGGCAATCGTTGAGATATTTTTTCCTTATTGCCACCCAGTGTATCATCAAAGTGAATTTGAAGCTGTTGCTTTAAGGTTGCATTACATTTCATATTTCTGCTTTAATGAGGCCATAATTCGCATTTCTGTTCCCGAAAAGGAGGCAGCCGCATGCTTTTCTGGCTGCGTAGATTCTCCCATCCACTTAAGTGGCTCACGACTTTTACCTGCAAATGAATTAATACGCCATTTAGCATCTTAGTAGAAAAAAAAATCGTTTCTGAAGACATAATTGAAGAATTTTACACCAATTGAATTATCACATTGTTGAATGTGAGGTTAAGGGCTGTGTTACTGCATTGTACAATTCATACAAAAACAATAATCCACAGTGCTTCCGAACTGACTGTCAGAAACTATTAGTCATAACCGCCTCCAACTTTTACTGAGCACATCCGCTGTTATTATTTATTTGCGGATCAGGGCTTGCAGCGTGAGTGTATCTCAAACTTATTACTCTTGGGCAGAGATGATGTGTTGTAATAGTCGACTTGGATACCATACTTGAAGTTGAGAAGAAACATGACTTGTACCAGGAACAAAAGAAAGCTATGGGTAGATTTCTTTTTTTTTTTTTTCCAAGGTATGAGCTCGTTGGGATCTTCGTGTTATTTATGGTCAATATGCTAAAACACTTTTGATGCGAAGACTTTTCTCAACCATCCCTTCTCCGATTCTCACCCTGACAAGCTACTCGCTGCTTGCATCATTTATTCAAAATGACTAAGCAGCACCATCACTGCCATTCCATATTAATTTATTGATATACTGCGTCATGTAAAAACATAGACAAAGAATAATCAGCATTAACGGCATGCATGAAAATATTACATGAACAACTAAATTCAAAAGCTCAATGATTCAATGAAAACAAGCCACTGTTCTTTGTGGCTCATCAATCCTGCCGTACTACTACGCTAGCACAAACTGACGTGACTTCACACATAAGCAAAATATGCGCTTCACAACAACTGTTGGTCATCAAACTCACCTTGTGGCGTTCTCAGACCATAATCGAGGTTGGGCAATCCAGGTAAATGGCAAGGTAGGGTAAAATAAGACTATCCTGGCTACATGGAGAAAGAAGAGCTGTGTACAAAGTGCAAACAAGGACTGCTAACAAAAGAGTGTGAAAAGCAAATGAAAAAGCAAAATCAATGACTTGAACATAACAACACTAAGATTATACAAATTGGCACCAAAGTAGTACCGTATTTTCCGCACTATAAAGCGCACTTATAAAAGCATTCAATTTTCTCAAAAGCCGACAGTGCGCCTTATAATCCAATACGCCTTATATCTAGATCAATATTCAGATTTCTTGGACATAGTATTTTAAATGTTCTGTAAAGCACTTTGTCAAAGCTGCAGCGGTCGTGAAAGCTCTCCATAAATAAAGCTGCATTGTATTGTATTGTATTTTCTTTAGTGTAGCTCCATCTAGTGGATGCATACCACAACCACAGCCACGATTGTAGTTTCTATTCTATGCGCCTCATAATGCGGTGCGCCCTTTATATGAAAAAGGTTTTAAAATAGGCCATTCATTGAAGGTGCGCCTTATAATCCGAAGCGCCTTTTAGTGCGGAAAATACGGTACTTTTATTTATTTTTTTGGCCTCCATGAGTTGAAATCAGGTTCTGACAAAATGAAACCACGAATGTCACAGTACTGCATATTTTGCTGCATCTTTCCGGATAACGTCCTGTTTATTTCTAATGTGTTGCTTACCAGTCATCATAACTAAATTGCAGAACAAACAATCACCTTTATTCATTGAACAGCTCATCCATATTGTACGTTTGGCTGCTATTTTCTGAAAGAGCGTTGTTAGTCAGAAATGGGTAAGTGTAAGCTCATTCTGTGTTGTTGTTGTTGTTGTTGTTTTTTGGATGGGAGTGGGGAGGACGAAAGCAATGACATAAATCAGTTTAGCTCTCATAGTTAGTTAAATATTTTACATTCTGATACCGAAAAAAACGATGAAACCGTTCTTAAACGTCTAAATGAGACTGCCAAGCGATACAGTGTTAGTGTACCCCTAGGTGTTTGATTTGCTTTGGTGCTCAAGGTTATTTTGAAGTGTGTGTGTGTGTGTGTGTGTGTGTGTGTGTGTGTGTGTGTGCGTGTGTGTGTGTGTGTGTGTGTGTGTGTGTGTGTGTGTGTGTGTGTGTGTGTGTGCGCGTGCGTGCGTGCGTGTGTGTGTGTGTTGCAGCTCAGCCTCCCTCCTGTAGTGTGTGTCTGGTCACCACTATTTGGAGTGGGCTCAGTTGGAGTTACGAGTCGAACCTCATTAGCGGCTAAGCTTTGGCTAGTGCTTGTCCACTAAACGCACTTGAGGGCACAAAGGCGCTTGTTTCACTTGCATTGGCCCATCTGTCACATTGGCCCCAATTTGAGACTTTTTCATGTGTGTGCATTCATCTCGGTAAGCAGAGGTAGAAAATAAATCAGTAAAATAACGAGCCCCCAAGTGTTGGTTAGCTCTTTTCGTTGTATGCTGTTTCTGATATAATAAATTAGACTGAAGCGTCCTCATCACATCATTGTATTTTTCTGTTCTTGTGGTCATGTTCTTGTTGAGGGTGGTCCTCACAAAAAGATAAAGATAATACCCAATTTGGTCAGAGTTAATCATTTGACGTTCTTGTGGGCCTTCACAATGTGACCTCATGGGCCTTCACCTAGAAAGGTTCTAATATATTGCGTTTGGGGGGTAAGAAATAATAAAATGAATAGTCATATTAAATAATAAACATAACACCTAAAATGAAGCAGGGAACTTTCAGGAGGATTTTCTGAAAAGAAAATTGCAAGAGCAAGATGTATAATTGTGTTTGTTGGATTTGTGTATGACTGAGGCGTTTTACACGCCAGTGTTGGTGAAAGCCTGAGGCTATATTTAGTTGTATAGAAAATTACATCTGGACTTGGAACAATGCCGTCCGCACAACCCGGCGCACAATGTCATTGAATGTGTTCAACAGCTCTTAACAAACCAACTTGTGTTATGGTTTATGATCGTGACAAAAGCCCTTTACAGTCGCCGTTTTAATAGCTCGGCTCAGCAGGAGAAAGGTTAATTAACACATCCTACCGCACTCGCACACACTCGGTAGGAAGCGCACAAGTCGATCAAAGACGCTGCTCTGTTTTGGTGTGTGTATGTGAGTCATATAAAGATGCAATCGAGCATCTGTTTGTCCTCGTTTCCTTCATCACTTGGCTGAGGCCGTGCTTGCCGTCACTTTGCCTACATTCACTCAATTCAATGCGAGCGCCTATTGTGACAGGAAAATGTCGAAATTCCCTTCGGATCATATTTCTTACACTTTGATAGCATGTGCGAATTGGGCAGGTCTCAAAAAGTGGAGCACATTTGGAGAAGAAATGACAACCGAGCGGACAGAGGTGTGAAGTGGGCGTGATTCAGTGAATGATTGCTGTTTTGTTGCCTTGGAGCCAAACGCGCTTACACGCAAACCGCGCACACAATACTTGCACGCACACAAACACACACATTGGCATGTCCAATCTTGAACCTTTCTCACTGCCTTTTTATTCTTTCTTCTTTTATCTTATTTGTCTTTCCCTCTCCTCGCTCACTCCATCGCTGGTCTAGACGTCTGCAGCAGCAGGTGCCGAAATTGGGAAGGGTGAGAAAAATGGGGAGAGCAGGAGGAGGGAAGAGGTGGCAAGGGAGGAAAGGAGCCAAGGGGATAAGGAAGTCTGAGAGAGAGAGACACA